GTGGTTGAAGACATACCTTTTTCAAAAACCGTCTCTCTAGCGTACAGAAAAGATCACATTGATATATATATATATATATATATATATATATAGGCCTATATATGTAACTAGGGTAAGTTAAGACAATAGTTGCCTTGCTGCTTTAGGGGTGGGGACAGCGCGACCACCCTCGGGATTTTATCGAATCACCTGTACCCATTAGTCAACTCGTGCGTGGCCAGAGTGGCCGCACATGCTGTGGCCCTACGCCCATAAACCAAAAAGACGGTCGTTACTCTGGGGCTGATATCATTATACTGGACAGGTCATTAAAATGACATACAAAAGCATGCTCGCGAACTACAATAACGGCATACAGTTTACGACATTATAAACTTTCTGAAACTGACCAGGGCTTGACGATATGGTGCGGGGCCGTGAAAAGCATCAACAGGTAATTCACGGGGAAGGCGGACTGGCACTTCGACAGCTAGGACATGACTTGTCGACCTTCGGGGATATTCTAAGATTCTATGGGCAGCCAATAAATACGGACCCAACGAAACCTGACAGGACAGTATGACCAGAAAGCACATGAGAGACGGTAGATTAGACTTTGGTTCTGGTCCGAAGTTATAAATCCAGACCAGGTTAGAAGGAACCAGAACGGACGTGTTTTCTGTGAACTGACTTAGGGACTTTGGAGGTCTGTTGGGTTTTTAGTTTTTAGTTTTTCTGTTCTGTTACTACCACAATAAAGAGATCGGGCCTACCATCCTATAGAGGACATCAGTGTTTCTTCTTAGGTTATACATATATATATACATGTATATATATATATATATATATATATATATATATATATATATATATATATATATATATATATAAATATACATATATATATATATATATGTATGTATGTATGTATGTATGTATGTATATATATATAATATATATATATATATATATATATATGTAAAGAGACTCGTCTAATATGTAAAACACAAATGGTTTCTGAGTCTCTGTGGCGGACAGCGGGTGGACGGACCCTTGACAATAGATGAATAGAGTAGAAAACTCACTTGATCGCTATAGTGTAATACACTTGAAGTATTTATTATCTAAATTAATGGTTTAAAATAATATGAGGTTATGTAAAACAAGTTTCATTTTCCAAACGTATAATTTTAATAAAGATCATGGGGAAAACACAAAATCAAAGAATATGTATCATTCTTCAACACAATTTTAGAAGTGTGCAAATGACTTCAATTTGTTTCTTAAATTCCACATCCTTCCCTTGATTGATTACAAAGTTGTTTTTTTTCTTTTTACTTCTCTTTAAGAAAGAACATTACATCATGGGAAAAAAATAATTTTTATTAATTTGTTTTGGTGTTGTAAAAAAAAATAATCACATAATTTGCGTGGAATGATAAAGTGCCATATGGTAGGTAAAATGCTGATATTTTAAAATACTGCTTTTTATTTATTTTATACACTGAACGTACTGTTTACTAATTATTATTTTTAATCAATAACAGTTTAGAAGCCACTCCTACATGTCCTCTATGTTTATTTCTATCTTTCCGTTTGCGGACAAGCTTGGAGTATTACAGTCGTTCACTAAATTGAATCAGACGGCACCCCGGCAGGGATCGATTTGATGCCCTGGGATATCCTGTGAGCGCTATGGTGCTAATGTTTGTTTCAACAAATGCGATTGGCTGTTAATAAAAAGTGTTACTATAGTCGTACTCTAAATCGAATCCAGGGCTTTCTCTGGCCTTCAGACAGGAAGCGATTTAGCGCCTCGGGCCTCCCGTGGGCACTATGGCGCCTAAGTTCGTTTTAAACAATGCGGTAGACTATGAATAAGAAGGGTTAATTTAGTCCTTAACTAAATCGAAACAGCGCATCGTCTGGCTCTCCTACAGTGTATTATTTGGCGCCCCGGGCATTCCCGTGAGTGCTATGGCGCCAACCACCGAGTTGAAATGTTCGATATCTTATGGATAAGATAGGGTATTTCAGTCGTTTACTAAGTTGAATCAGGTGGTTCCACCAGTGACCCGGCAGCCTGCGGTTTAGCGCCCCGGGCTATACTGCGAGCAATATGCTTTTCTCTTTACATTTAACTTTGTGTTTATGTTCTGCGTTATTGGTGCTTATAGGTTTGCGTTTGTGTTTATCTTTGTGTTTGTGTTGGCGCTTGCGTTTGTGTTTGCGTTTGTGGTGGTGTTTGTGTTGGCGTTTGTGTTTATATTATGTTTATGTTTGCGTTGCGTTTGGGTTTATGTTTCCGTTTGGGTTTGTGTTGAGTTGCGTTTACATTTGCGTTTACTCTTGTATTTGCTTTTCTGCTACTTTTGTGATTGTGTTTCTTTTTTTTTCGTCTTTGTATGGGTTTGCGTTTTTGTTATAATTGCGTTTTTGTGTGCTTATGTTTTGTTTTTCCATGGTTGTGGTTATGGTTATTTAGAAAAGTAATATATTTCCTAAACTCGGGCAAAGCAGGGTATATGCTGCTAAAAAAACAAAGAAGTCATGGTAATTTACAAATAGGTTTTTCTCAGAGGCCTTTGTATGGCTGGGCCGGGACGGCTAGTATATTATAAACTACACTTACTTGCATGGATTGCTACAGTCACATGGTATCTTCTCAAGGTTAAAGGTCACCGTTGAAAGGCATCTTTGTTCTACACATACATGGATATTTATTTTGTGATAGAACACAGAATGTTTACACATAATATAACTAAATAGCCACACTCATTCGTGAAATATGGTTCAAGTATAACATTGTTATATTATGTTGGCAATGATGTGATTTTTATGCTAGCTTTAATCAATATATTAAAAGTGTAACATCAATTTTAATATTTTTATGTGCACAGATTATAGACCTTTGTAAACGTTATTGATACAAACGTATACAATAAATGCTCCTTTATAATTTGTGTTCATGTAATTGACTTTTGAAAAAAAAAAAGTAAAAGCCGCTTTGAGTATATTTACGAAATTAATTCATGTAAAAATTGTGTTGTACTTACGTGTATCGTTGTCGCAACTGGTTAAATTGTTCACATTTCCAAGAATCGCATTGATTTCCTGGTCTCGCTCATCAATACAAAGGCACTTATTACGAATGTAGTTTTGTACACAAATACTCTGACAAGTCTGAAAAAATTATTGTTTAAACTATAACTACACCATAACAAACTGGATAAAATACTTTTTTTTAAAAATAAATATTCTATGTATAGTGATATAGTGTAAAGTATATCGTGTGAATAAAGCTTACGTTTCTGGTGTAGACCCTGTTGTACTTCTTCCTGTAGTCATCAACTGTACACTTTCCCCAGGGGGACGACAGTCGCTGGACATTCACCTATTCACACAACGCAAAGCCTAATTACAAATGTATTCGACATTTTTTTTATCCCGACAAAAGGTTTGAATTATAAATGTAATAGAAAGTGGAATTAATAAAAATATCTCAACTTTATTTTTTTTTACATTTTTCACGATGATTGTTGTTCACTAATCCCACGAAACACTTGTGTAAGGGAATGGTGGGATGTTAACTTAATTGGACACGATAGGACTGAACAGATATAGTACAATACTGATCGCATTTACAACCTAATCATGTGTTTCCTTTTGTATCCTTGTTATTCATAAAAACTGCTTGAAATAATAAAACATGTTTGATCCCGATATACTAATTAACTGTGAAATGAACTTAAATAAGTAAGTTAACAGGCAAAAATTATGTTGTTGATTTTTGTGTGTGTGTAGGTATTAAAATAATAATAATGATTTCTGGAGATTATTATTCTAAAAAGCTATTTTGATAGTTTTCTGTTGTAACAGTTACCTGCTTAATGCCGATATATGTGTTGGTGCTATTCTCACAAACTATTTTGATAGTTTTCTGATGTAACAGTTAACTGCTTAATGCCGATATATGTGTTGGTGCTATTCTAAAAAGCTATTTTGATAGTTTTCTGATGTAACAGTTAACTGCTTAATGCCGATATATGTATTGGTGCTATTCTAACAAATTATGTTGATAGTTTTCTGATGTAACATTTACCTGTGCCGATATTGGTGCTATTCTAACAAGCTATTTTGATAGTTTTCTGATGTAACAGTTACCTCTTAATACCTATATATGTATTGGTGCTATTTTAACAAGCTATTTTTATAGTTGCCTGATGTACCAGTTACCTGTGCCCATATTGGAACTATACTAAGAAACTATTTTGATAGTTTTCCGATGTAATAGTTACCTGCTTAATGCCGATATATGTGTTGGTGCTATTCTAACAAGCTATTTTTATAGTTGCCTGATGTACCAGTTACCTGTGCCCATATTGGAACTATTCTAAGAAACTATTTTGATAGTTATCTGATGTAACATTTACCTGCTTAATTCCGATATATGTGTTGGTCCCTGGCATGACACTCAGCCCCTCCTCGTCTGGAAACGGCACCGTACCTTGCTCGTGGATGACGACCCTGACCCCCTTGTTGTGTGTGATGCCTGGTAGGTACTCGTTTGTCTCTATGAAAAGGGTTAGCTCTAGACCTGCACGGTACAAGAAAGTTCATACTGTGGGACATATATCCAGTGTATATGATGAGGTGTCTATAATTAAAACATAATAGAATTTAAATATAAAATAATAGATATGATCTAGCATTATTTTTTATTTTATTCGTACATGCTAATCAGTAATCTTGAAAGTCTTATACACGTTTTTTTTTTAAATATATTATAATATCAGTTTAAGTTTTACATGTAAGTAACAAAATGGATGTTCAAAATTGTTTAATCATGATGAATCTTATGTCTTTTCATCATAAAATACAACTATTTTGTTTATTGTTCGACCGGTAATAAAAAATGAAAGCACATTGTTCTTTTTTTAAGAGCGATTAACTGATCAGCGAGTGTAATTAGAAAAAAAAACAATGTTATATTTTAAACTGCTAACAACATAACTACTTACCACCAGAGGGTCCACTTTTACGCACAATAAATTTGTCGTACTGTAGTGTGTAGCAGTTCCCATAGTTCTCAGAGAACACATGGGTAAAGTTGCTGGTTTAAAAATAAGTACATGATGTTAATAAGTGACATTTCATTATAAAGTAGTTTTAATTCAAATATGATTTGTCTTTTTGCCATGACTAGTTGAATAATTATATCATGATAATTATGTTAATTATAAATTTGTTTAACTTGCCAGGATTTGTTATGGGGTCATCCATAAATGATGTCACGCTTTTTTGGGACGATTTTTACCTCCCACTTCCCTCCGTCACACACCGTCACAAAATTACGGACCCCCCCCCCTCCCCCTACGAGTTTGACGTCATTTATGGACGACCCCCTATTACAATGCACTCTTATTTACAATTTTTGTCCAACAAAACTTGTGATTTCTAGTTACAGTACGTAAACATAACTTACTCAGGAAAACATCGCTTCCCAGCGAAAGAGCATTGTAAAACCATGTCGTTAACCTGGTGCCCTATCTCCTTTCGTGTATCTCTGTATCATCAACGTAGGAAATATTATTGTTATTTATTTCTTAAGATTTTATAAATTGTTCATTTAGCAAACAGATTTTGAATTTATTTTTTTAAATTACATTTATTGTTCTTATTAATAATAATCAAACACATTTGTATTTATAGTTTATGGACAGTAAAATGGAAAAATAAGAATAGTTATTACTAACGAAATATGATTTCTTAACGTACATATTTACCAGTGTGAAACAATATTCGAAAGGAATTTATTACATTATATTATACGGGTCATGCAGTGGCGTAGGCAGGGGGGGGTTAGGGGGGGTCATAACCCCCCCCCCCCATAGACCCGTCGGTATATATAAAAAGTATGAGGGGGGGGGTGCAAATCGAAAGTTTGAGGGGGGGGGGGGGGGTGCAAATCGAAAGTTTGAGGGGGGGGGGGTGCAAATCGAAAGTTTGAGGGGGGGGGGGGGTTCAAATCGAAAGTTTGTCCCCGGGTAAAAATTGGAACCCCCCCCCCCTTGAGACGATCCTGGATACGCCACTGGGGTCATGTATTGATTTTGTCTAATATCCAACTAGATATAGTAATGTATTGTTCATCTCGCAATTAAGGATTTGTACTCCACTATGAATAAAAAAAATCTTATCCTATAGGCCTGGCTTGTATGAATGCATGTATTGAATCAAACTTACGCTGATAGATTCAAGTAATATTCTTTGAAAATTTTGTCTAAAGCATCAAAGACGGACTCCTGTCCAGTAGACTCCCATGTATCCGGGTAATCCTTGATCATAATAATTTATTCAGTTAATACACAGTACTATATTAGCTTTACATTGAAAACCTATTTGTAAATTCATTCTTGTTTTTTTTTTTAAAACGTTAAAGTAACATACATTATTAGTTAGTAACATGTTTGTTTTTAAATATTCAATGCTTTTTGGTAACATTAAAATTTATTCTATCCGAAGTCGAAAATCGACGACATTTTTAAATATGATATGAAAAAACAGCTTGTGTGCTTTAGAAAAGGGCGGATATTTTCATTGCTCCTCATTATTAATTTTATTATACTGCATGTATGAACAAATTGAAAAAAAAAACAATTTAACAATTGTATGTAGGCTACATTTAAAAAAATAGCTTTAAAGCATTACATCTGGCCTTCTGTACGCTTTAGGTAAACATAAACATTGTATACATACTTGGCTAGATCATGATATGTATGTAATTCTTACATTGTCTATAGCATTATCTTCATCATAGTCGTACATCGACATGATAATACTTTTGAGAATTCTATCCAAACAAACTCCAATGTCTTCATCCCTAAAAAAATAAATGTTACATATATGTACAATACATGTTTATACTTGGCATATACGAAGTCATTAGTATATGTGATGTTATTAGCACGGTTCTTCAAGAAACACATCAACATCATCATCATATTTCCACCTTTGATAGGAGAATATAATAGATGAGGTATAGTTAATCTGTTTCAATGACCTCGGCAAACAAGGGGATAGAGTGGTCAGCACAATACCCAACAGTCTTTATTTATATATTATGAGTTAGGTACCTATTAGAGCTGGGTGAACTCAGGAACGTTATACTGGGTTAATTCCGGATTCGATCTGAAGACTATCGGGCTAACGCTCTACCGCTAGGCCACGCCACCCACACTCAACTTATCGTCTGAATGTGCTTTATGAAATTGTTTCAATCTGCATTCCCTCCCTCCCTTGAAAGTTGAAGTTTTTTCTGTCACATCAGCCAGACAAACAGGCGCGCATACATCTACACATAAAAATGGTCATTATTACAACGTCCACGTCACAACACATCCCTTTTAAAAAAAGTGTCACCTATTAACTGGCTAGTTATTCAAGTCAAACTATATCCTCCCGTTGACTATATTTTAAAAGCTTAATTTTTCTACAGCTTTGTTGCAGTATAAGGGATTGATACAACATATAATTTAAGCATTAAATACACATTGTTAGAAATGTGTATCTTCAGTTAATGTGTTTGCAGACAGAACACACATACGTTAAGCTACTTACTCTCCTTCAACCGTGCAATCGTCAACTTTCTGTTTAATAGCTTCCGGGTTCATTTTGGCTACAAGGTCTTGAATATTGTCAATTGATGAATTTTCTAACTGGTGAAATAAACATGAATTGGTGTAAAAGCGTATTTTTGTTTTTGTTGTAAAACATGAATGTATGTAAACACAAGCATATACATTAATAAAATATGATTGGTTTTAAACACAAGATTTTATTTCGACTAGTGAAATATAGATACGTGTATAGTAACTTTTTCTTTAAAATTAAATAAAAACGGAGTAAATTGCTTAATTAGACAGAATTCTATATTAATTTTTCGTTCTTTTTTTATCAACACGGAAGATAGGTCGCTGAAAGTGGAAAGTTTTGTTTTTTTATGTTAATATATTGTTTTCCAGACATTTTCACACCGCGTTGTAATTGAAAGATCAAGCAACACGTACCTTAGATTTCCGCAGAACGTTGACGTTGCAGATAGTCACGGCTGGGAAAGGGAGGGTACTGAAGTTCAGGCTCACCTTGGACGTTTTGTTGTAGTCAAAGAATTTTGTCAAGAGGCTGAAATGAAATAGTAGTAGGCCTACACATATTGATTACCACTTGTCTATTGCTATTTGTGAAGAGGGTGTAAAACAATGGTAGTACACAAGGTTTTTATACACGGTATTTTACAAGGGTATTATACAAGGGTCTTTTACAAATTGGTTGTCACTTGTATAATCGTAAAGTGCCGACTAGGATTTAAAGAATGAATCGCTTCCGTTCACTGTAACACTATGTTACTAAAAATGTCTTTGTTGCTTACCTGAGTCTACCTATGAAATAATACTTAAAGTCTACATTGTTATTTTATTAACAATGCCTGTTTCCATCCATCTTAATGTCAACATCATAAATACGTCAACACAATTGCATTAACTCACCTCCAAAAAGGTACAATAAAAAGTTAAACATTTCTCTTGTATAATGTAATCACCACTCAACAACCCACCTGTATAAGTGGTATATCATAGCTCTCACTCACCTGTATAAGTGGTATATCATAGCTCCCACTCACCTGTATAAGTGGTATATCATAGCTCCCACTCACCTGTATAAGTGGTATATCATAGCTCCCACCCACCTGTATAAGTGGTATATCATAGCTCCCACCCACCTGTATAAGTGGTATATCATAGCTCCCACTCACCTGTATAAGTGGTATATCATAGCTCCCACTCACCTGTATAAGTGGTATATCATAGCTCCCACTCACCTGTATAAGTGGTATATCATAGCTCCCACCCACCTGTATAAGTGGTATATCATAGCTCCCACTCACCTGTATAAGTGGTATATCATAGCTCCCACCCACCTGTATAAGTGGTATATCATAGCTCCCACTCACCTGTATAAGTGGTATATCATAGCTCCCACTCACCTGTATAAGTGGTATATCATAGCTCCCACTCACCTGTATAAGTGGTATATCATAGCTCCCACCCACCTGTATAAGTGGTATATCATAGCTCCCACTCACCTGTATAAGTGGTATATCATAGCTCCCACTCACCTGTATAAGTGGTATATCATAGCTCCCACTCACCTGTATAAGTGGTATATCATAGCTCCCACCCACCTGTATAAGTGGTATATCATAGCTCCCACTCACCTGTATAAGTGGTATATCATAGCTCCCACTCACCTGTATAAGTGGTATATCATAGCTCCAACGGCTGCCAGAAATAAAATGGTCCACACAATTTTGACGAAACACGTTCTGGATCGGACGATGTACGGCATCCCATTGAGGGATGTGATGTCCGCGAACTTTTCAACGATGTACGCCAAACCTTCCGCCGTCTCCTTCCTTTTCTTCCTTGGTCGTTTTGCTGGGGATTCTGTTCGTGGACCAGACCTCTGATTAGTTTGTTCCACATCATGTCCCTGAAATGCCAAACACGTTGTATTATTTTAAAATTAAACTTATCCATGTCAACGGTGTAGAATACTTTGATGTGAACTTAATAAGATAACTAATACGGTACTTATCTTAACTTAATAATACATAAAAAATGTAAAGTTCTGTAATTATTTTACAGAAATACACTAATTTGCTATTCTATGAATATTTAGTTTGAGATCAGAGTTGTTCGTGTATGTCTATATACAGTATGTTAGTATTTTACATACGTCATTATAGAAGAAAATGTACAATAATAGACCCTAGTATACCAGAAGGTATAAGGGACAGATGAAGTGGATTTCAGCTGTTTCTCTGAGCCCTGTATATTAAGAGACCGTGTCGTCAGAATTATGCTTAACGGTTATCACTTTTCCTTTCCCCGAATCAAGCAAGGTTAATTGAAATATGATATCCTTAAGACTGAGCCCATGAGTTTAATTCAATATGTTTGAATATTTTAAAACTCTGCGCTTCTTTCGTCATTACAATATTAGATTTAAAAATCAAGAGATTTACGTTGGTTAGAACTAATGTATTAACCGTAATGTCTTTAATTTACAAGTTTAACCGCCGTGTTTAACATTTATCTCCAAGTTTAACTTGTAGAGAAACGGATAATAAATAGAAATGTGTCATTCATGCGTTGGGTTATGCAGTAAAATGTACACATTAAAACTTGTTGCAAAGGATAACGTTTAAACGATGAAGATCTGTATTTGTATATATTTTTTAATAATGTTTAACATACATCTACAATCACCATTTTAATGAATACTTACGTAGTTTTGTTTGGATGTTGCACCACTGTCAAGGTAAGGATCAGAGTAGCCGTGGTCATTGTGTTCATAACCAATGTAGTACGGGTTTCGTTTGTTGTTCATACTGATGGCTTGGTTCTACGCTTCCAATCTTCTTTCATATGTCTATGGGGTTTTACTTAACAGCTGCGTCACACTATATCTAGAGTGTAGAACATAAAACAATAGCTGCTAGAAAATAGCACATACAAACGATTGCTGAAAACTTGACTAGCTACTAGTTTATTGTAATTCCATTAGCAAGCACTTATTGATTGAGTATATTTTAATATTGAATTATCTAACGCATTATGTTATTGGAATTTGTAATCGACCATATCCAGAAAGCTATGTATTAAAAGTAAAATTGTAACCAAGATATTTTTAATACTAGAGTTCGCGTCTCATTTACGAATGGATAATGAAAGCAGTTCAACATACATGATTAATTGAACCGGACGGTTTGGCAATGCTAGGTCTAGATCAATTGACCCGATAAAATCGTTCAATAAACCAATGATTGATTTGTGTGTAAAACAAACTGCTTTTAACAGGGAGTTAAAACCATATTTTAAAGTTCAAATGTAGGTAGTTAAAGTGGTTTTATCTCATTATTGCCTTTTAGATTAAGTTCATGAGTGGTACTATTAAAAATAATATAGGAAATTGAATAATAAATACAAAAGTTTCAGAAGCAAAAAAAAAAAGAAAGACATTAAAAATTTACAAGTAAAGTAATGGCAATACAGTGTGCCAAACCGTGAATAGATACATATATAGGCGACACAGACATATCTTCTGACATACACAGACACAAATACACACACCGACATACAGAGAAAGATACATAGCTATGTGAGGGCGGGTGGGGCGGCCGCCGAACCCTACGAGACGCCGAAAGCGCTAGACTAAAATTTAAAAAAACAACTCATTAATGCTGAATTTTTAAATCATACACAAAGTTATGACACTAAACAGCTTCAAGGCTTTAGATTCTAATATAACGGTTATTGACATGAAATATGTGTGGCACCACAATAAATTTTTATCTAAACATGAATGGTACAAAGTGCCACCAAACGTTCTAGCTGTAGGGGGTGTGGGAAATTGATCGTTAGCAGTGTGTGCTGTAATGGGTCGCTTTGTCTCTGTCACAAACATATAGAAAAACCCACCAACATACGTAGAAACACACATATGTATGCACATCATGACAGAGGCGTAGCGAGGGGCGAGGGCGTGGGTGCGGATTGCACCGGGTGACACCAATTAAGGGGGTGACACCAAGGCAAAAATAGCAAAATATATAGAGAAAAATAATTATTCCACTTAATTAAGTGATTAATTCGAGTGTTAAATAGTGTTTTAAGATGTGCAAATCGAAAGTTTGAGGGAGGGGGGGGTGCAAATCGAAAGTTTGGGGGGGGGGGGGTTGCAAATCTAAAATTGAAAGTTTGTCACCGGGAAGGGTCGCTACGCCTCTGGGGGAGTGACACCATTAAGTGCCGCATCGGGTGATACCCGACCTCGCTACGCCACTGCATCATGATACACACACACCAACAGACTAACCTACAGTCAAATAAAACGATACAAAAATAAATGGTGTGTATACTAAAATGGAATGATAATACTGAACGTACCATACTAATACAAATATATTTTACTTCTGCAAAATAATAGTCAGAAAAATATATAATTAACACTATTTACCAAACACTGATGAAAATTCAGCCACAGCAAAAATGTACTAGCCATAACTGGTTATAATAATAAAGATATATTGTAGTTAAAAGCGAGTGTGCTAATTTACAAATTTACCGTGCAGCCAGAGGCGTAGCGACCCTTCCCGGCGCCCGGTGACAAACTTTCGATTTGCACCCCTCCCCCCTCGAACTTTTGATTTGCACCCCCTCCCTCGAACTTTTCATTTGCACCATCCCCCCTCAAACTTTCCTTTTTGCACCCCCCCTCGAACTTTCCATTTGCACCCCCTCAAACTTTCAATTTGGCGCCCCCCCCTAAGGTCGGCGCCCGGGGACATATGTCCCCAACCCCCCCCCCCCCGCCCCCGCCCCCCCCCCCTCGCTACGCCTCTGCGTGCTGCACACATTCCTAACCAGGCTACTTGACATTTTTTGGATTAAAAAATTAAGCAAACACTCCCATACATATCAAGTGCCCCCTCCCCTCCTCACTTCCTAGTATCCTAGTATATGTTACACAATCAATTATGATCGTCATATTGCGATGTGCTGATCGTATGTTTACTCTGCGCTAGCAGAACACACGTGTCATTACACACCTACTTAAGACACACCAAATTAAATTGTAATTAATTGTGTCTTTGTACTTAGTATACCATAGTTTCAATATATAATGTTCCCTGTATACTTCTCGGTTCATTTTTCGCGGCCTCGCTGTTCCGCCTATGTTTAAAAACATGATAGTCTTTTCAGTTGAGAATTTAAATGGACAGTTCCATGACAGGAAACAAAACAACATTCACCAAAATAAATAATCAACGTCAGCAAGTCCACATAACAAGAGTGATAACGAATACGAATAAATCTGTTACAACTGTAGCAGAAGTAATACAGTTAACAGTCCGACGCCAAAGATACTGCACCACCTGATGATGTGATGTCTTTAGAATAACAATAATACTCTTCTTGACTTTCTCCCTCAACTCTATTATAACATACAGATAGTTTATCATCACCATTATAATTGATCTATGTTAGCGCCACTATTTCGCGGTATTTCACTTTACAAAGGCGAGCCTGTAGCAAAAACATAAGTAATGGAACACGGCAATACGGTCATGGTTGGCTGAACTCGAACAGTACTGATACTACGGAACTCTTCGTCATCGGCAGAATAATATCTTACAAATGTGTGTAGGTTGTGATAGTTATACATGAATGGTTATCTTTTCAAACATAAATAAAAATGTTGAGCGTGTGAAATGCCAACTAAATCCTCATGCTTTGTTAAAATCCAACACTTTACTTATTGAATAACAATAGATTTCAGTAAATTACAGCAAACATAATTATGGTCATTACTTAACCCATTTTTGAAAGTTAACCTAGCTAAAATATAAGACACTTGCATATAACTGGCTAAAAATATATGACACTTACTTCATGAAACCAACTAAGAAATAATAACACTGTATGAACCCTACTAAAGAATAAAACACGTGTAGGAACACAGATAAAAACATAAAACACATGTATGAACCGCGCTAAGAACACGTCTTTTCTTAAAGCCCATCCACAGATAGAAAACCGGTTTACCTTTACATATGAATACAACTAATAACCGCCACACAGACAGCTGAGCCTGATAACAGTCTTTGAATAATTATAACAGACGGATGGTACGTTTCACAAGGCTAAAGGGATATATACTTGGTTTGTAATCACAGCATTGCAAGGAATACACTGGTAAACTTTAACCATTAAGACATTTCATTCCAACCTGCGACTGCCCCTTACACCTACCAGTAAAATGCTAACGTAGTAAAGAGATACATTTCATGATGTCAACCATTTAAAATATTTTTTTTAATGCTATACAAAAGTTGAAAACAAGTAAACAATCGTAATACCATGTTTAAAAATAAAAATAAAATGTTAATTAATTACGGCAATGTGATAGTTTACACTTTACATAGTCCATAGCTTACGTTAATAAAAGAGGATAAAACGAACATACCACAGTTTATTACAATAGAAACTTTAAAGATTTGTTTGTCACCACATTACCTAACGTCCACTAACTACTGGTGGATTTAACTGAAGCACGAACACTCAATGCACAGTAGCACACAGCGATGAAAAGCACATATTGATTATATCAGTTTGTCCTCTTCGCTTGAGCAGCGTTATACCGTTAACAGGTTAAAAAACCGTAATTTGGCCTACATCGACCAATCTGGTATATTTGTCAAAAGTTGGGGGTGGAAATACGAAAGCTTAAAGGCGTGGCTTAATTCGTGTCCTGGTTTGTTTTTTTTTAAAGAAAAACTAAATGATGGCCTGCTTGGTATATTAAAATACAACTTATACAGAATCGTAGGCACGTAATTTTGTTTGTTGTTCATTAGTTTAATGAAATAAATAAACTTAGAACGAATAAAACACATCGCGATTAATTATGCGGTTTGCATCGATTAACTTAATCTTTTAATGTATTCAACGAAGTAGGGTGGTGAGTTACACAGCGATTTTACACTCTCTTTTTTTTCCCTCACTATAGCACAACTCGGGCTAATTTGAATGATTAAATGAGTCGTTTAAAACGAAAGCAGCTTACATTTGTTTCGTTTTTTTTTTTTTGTTGCATTTTTCGAACGTTTTAAATTAAGATGTAAAAAAGAATAGTCTCTAAAATAATGTGATTAGATGTTTAAGCTTTAAATCCTAATTTGAAAATGTTTTAGTTTATATTTTGTAGGGTTAAAAAGTCCGCATACTGATTTTAAATGCTCATTCCAGTAAGTTTACAGTACATCTCTAATAATCTATGGACACCTACACACTTAATGTGGTAGTGTACATAATTGTTTAGCTCACATGTGAACACTGTTATGGTAAAACAATGAACCATTCATGTCAGTGTGACTTTTGTCTTAGCATATCTCTACTCCAGTAAAAACACAGGGTGTTTCAGTATGGATAACGTACGACTCTGATTTATTTGGTTAATTTTTTTTTCAAAGCAAAATGTTGTGGGTACACGGCTTTCATAGAAAAGCGTAAAATACCAAAATAAACACATTATAAGCACGTATGTTACTCCAAACACATAACACAAAAAGTTGCTGGCACAAAACAGTCTTAGCAAAACATCGTTAACGGGTCAAATCGTCTGGGCCAAAATATCTATGTAGTACGCAATGTCCGTGGACAATGTCCATTGTATAACAAGTCAATTGAAAAACCTCATAGACAAAAGCACACAGGTTTTTGAAGTTCATTGTATGTGGTACTGAAGGTCAAACGTCTAAAAATACAAGATAGGTAACGCGTCGATGAAATACTCTAAAAAATATTACATCAATCTTTCTTCTGAGATCACAGCAACGCACGAGATGTGCACGCTAGTACGGAATAAATATTTTGTTATAAAATGTTAATATCAAGCATTATAGCACACAACGTCATTCGTACAAAATGCTACTTGTGCACAAGGATCAGATTACACATTATACAGATTATAATTCAGTATGACAGATTGCGCTTGATCGAACGTACGGTTGAGTAAAGTGGAATCTAGAGATAAATATTGCATACTAAAACCATTGTTTGTAAAGCGGTTTGTCTGTTGTAAGCACAGGACAATGGTTTGTGGATCGTTTCATTTTACTTCAAGACGAAACAATACATAACAAACACGCCAGTGGCGTAGCGGGCTCGGGTGTCACCCGGTGCGGCACTTAATGGTGTCACCCCCCCCCCCACCTCAGAGGCGTAGCGACCCTTCCCGGGGACAAACTTTCATTTTTTTAATTTGCCCCCCCCCCCCCCCACTCAAACTTTCGATTTGCAACCCCCCCCTCAAGTTTTTCTCTATATATTTTGCTATTTTTTGCCTTGGTATCGCCCCCTTGGTGTCACCCGGTGCAGTCCGCACCCCCCCCCCTTCGCTACGCCCCTGAAACAAGCCGTAATGTAACTCATCTAATAAAAAATAATCCGTGTTTTTAAAATCAGTGTCGGGATCCTTCACAATTGACAGACTTCTGAGTACATTAAAATACAATCAGGTCAGTTATGGATGTTTATCATTTTACTTTGTTATACAGGTTTGTAACAACAAAAAATATAAAAATAACTAGTTTTAAGTTATGTAGGCTACAGTATGTTTAAAATTGGTTATACGAAAGTCTAGTTACCTAAGTGTCCTAACACTTTACTTAGTTTCTATAGACTCCCAATTTGGTTGATTAAACTGTGTGTACAGGAAAAACCACTCCTGTTTTATATAAAAGGGAAAGAATCGTGCCAGGAGAAAAATTCCGATTCCCAGGCGTGTACGCCTGAATAGATGTGTCATGCGACGATGCAGCGTGTATCTACGCCTGAACTACAGCCACTGTACCGAGGCGAGGAATTCCCCACCTGATCATTAAATGTTTAACCTTGCATCACTTGTTCTGGTTTTTGTATAACTAGGTAGGCTAAGGCGGAGGGTAGAAAGTGGCACATCTTGAGCCTTTGTAGCCCGACACGAACGGCCTTTTGGTTACAGCTAGACCAAATCACATTACATTACCTGCTGTCTTGCTTAACACGAACAGCCTGTAGGTTGCTGTCTGTCCTAGACCAAATCACATCACACTACCAGCGTGTGTTGCTAGACACGAACGGCCTGTAGGTTGCTGCCCTAGACCAAATCACATCACACTACCTGCCAGACACGAACAGCCTGTAGGTTGCTGTCTGCCCTAGACCAAATCACATCACACTACCTGCTGTCTTGCTTAACACGAACAGCCTGTAGGTTGCTGTCTGCCCTAGACCAAATCACATCACACTACCTGCCTGTGTTTCCAGACACGTACGGCCTGTAGGTTGCTGTCCTAGACCAAATCACATCACACTACCTGCCAGACACGAACAGCCTGTAGGTTGCTGTCTGCCCTAGACCAAATCACATCACACTACCTGCCAGACACGAACAGCCTGTAGGTTGCTGTCTGCCCTAGACCAAATCACATGACACTACCTGCCTGTATTACCAGACACGAACAGCCTGTAGGTTGTTGTCTGCCCTAGACCAAATCACATCACACCACCTGCCAGACACAAACAGCCTGTAGGTTGCTGTTTGCCCTGCACCAAATCACATCACACTAATTGCCAGACACGAAAGGCCTGTAGGTTGCTGTCTACCCTAGACCAAATCACATCACACTACCTGCCAGACACGAACAGCCTATAGGTTGCTGTCCTAGACCAAATCACATCACACTACCTGAGATATCCTGTTCTGTCTGTAGACCCTAGCCTGGTGCTGGGACCATGGCATTATCACCATGCTGTCCTCACAGTTTAACAGCTGTTTGAATAGACAATGATGTCCTAATGTTTGGACAGCTGTTTTAATAGACAATGATGTCCTAATGTTTGGACAGCTGTTTTAATAGACAATGATGTCCTAATGTTTGGACAGCTGTTTAAATAGACAATGATGTCCTAATGTTTGGACAGCTGTTTTAATAGACAATGATGTCCTAATGTTTGGACAGCTGTTTGAATAGACAATGATGTCCTAATGTTTGGACAGCTGTTTTAATAGACAATGATGTCCTATTGTTTGGACAGCTGTTTGAATAGACAATGATGTCCTAATGTTTGGACAGCTGTTTGAATAGACAATGATGTCTTAATGTTTGGACAGCTGTTTTGATAGACAATGATGTCCTAATGTTTGGACAGCTGTTTTAATAGACAATGATGTCCTAATGTTTGGACAGCTGTTTTAATAGACAATGATGTCCAATTGTTTGGACAGCTGTTTTAATAGACAATGATGTCCTAATGTTTGGACAGCTGTTTGAATAGACAATGATGTCCTAAATGTTTGGACAGCTGTTTTAATAAACATTGATGTCCTAATGTTTTGACAGCTGTTTTAATAGACAATGATGTCCTAATGTTTTGACAGCTGTTTTAATAGACAATGATGTCCTAATGTTTGGACAGCTGTTTTAATAGACAATGATGTCCTAATGTTTGGACAGCTGTTTTAATAGACAATGATGTCCTAATGTTTGGACAGCTGCTTTAATAGACAATGATGTCCTAATTGTTTGGACAGCTGTTTGAATAGACAATGATGTCCTAATGTTTGAACAGCTGTTTTAATAGACAATGATGTCCTAATGTTTGGACTGCTGTTTTAATAGACAATGATATCCTAATGTTTGGACAGCTGTTTTAATAGACAATGATATCCTAATGTTTGGACACCTGTTTTAATTGACCATTATGTCCTAATGTTTGGACAGCTGTTCACCTAGACATCTTATTGACATAAACGTCTTAAACATAAACCTCGGACAATAGCCATTACCATTGACCCACTATTAAGGTTTATGTAAAGTAAAAACTATCATTGCAGCCAATAAATTAGTTTTAATACACAAAACAAATGTTACATATTTTGTTTTGTTTTAAAAGTGTATATCTTCGTACTTTTATGTTTTTTGTTATAATGGTATACTCTTATTAATTTATTTGTGAATTTATTTGTGAACCTAATGTGACGGTAAAACCGTTTAGGCTAGCTCCATTTTATTCTTCCACCACCCTGCTCTATTACTCCCCCCCCCCCCCACTCTCTACAAGTACGTACATTCCTATCTTTCGTCCCCCTCACAGGCAGTAGCGTAGCGAGGTGGGGGGGGGGGCGGTGGGGGGGGACATATGTTGGGTTGGAAAAATAAATTGAAAGGTTGAGGGCGGTGCAAATCGAAAGTTTGAGGGGGGGGGGGTGCAAATGGAAATCTCGAGGGGGGGGGGTGCAAATCGAAAGTTTTAGGGGGGTGCAAATCGAAATCTCGAGGGGGGAGGGGGTGCAAATCGAAAAGTTTGTCCCCAGGCGCCGGGAAGGGTCGCTACGCCTCTGCTCACAGGCTCCTCTCTAGTTGGCTAGATTGTCCACGTGTTACACCGCCAATTTTAATGCTTAAAAGGGGATGCAACAAAGGGATTCTCGCACTCTTTCTTCACTGAGCTCAGCTGGTGGTGTCGCACGTTTTGCATCTCACTGATACGGAAAAACATAATTTTGCAATCTTGTCCGTATGTCTGTGTGTCTGTGTGTGTGTGTGTGTGTGTCCGTGTGTAAACACGATAACTTGAGTACCGTTACAGCTAGGTTGATGAAATTTCATATATAAGTATTTAATCAAAATCGTAGATCCGTATCAACTTTTGAGCGATTTCCGATAACCGGAAGTGGTACTTTTCCTACTTTGAATTTTTCAAAAGCCTATAACTTGAGTACTATTTCAGATAGATAAATGAAATTTCATACGTAAGTAAAAGATCTAATTCTCTACCTTCTATTTAATTTTGAGTCATTTCCGTTGACTGGAAGTAGTACTTTACGCTACTTCCGATTTCTCAAAAAAACTAATGTAAATTTTAAAAGTAATAATAATATTGCGCACTATTATGCGCTTTTTTATTTCGCGTTCACTTGGTGTGCAATTAATTTGTCTACGAGATTTTATTCTATTTTTAAAACTTTAAGTATTTAACATGGATTAAAAATCATGTCTATAGCCCGAGTTCCCATCCCCTGTTATTTTATATAAGAATATTCGAGAAAGTTTAGGGGAGATCACTCCCGGTTTATTTTCCTTATACCGTTAACACCTAATACTCTTGAAATGGCGATAGCTACAAGTTTAGGTGGTTGTTTTGCTGCTGATAATCGCTGACACTGTATTGAAAACTTCTGTGTTAGCTTTCTGCGGGATCGTTATTGTTTTTGTGTGCCCATTTTGCCTTGTGAATAAATGAGAGAATGGGTTGTCTACGTTTAAGACGCAATAGCCTGTAGATATAAAAGTGAATATCCTTTGTCTATTGTTCTGTTTAAATCTTAGTACCTTTCAGTTCAAAACCCAAGGGCATTCATTCTCTTGCGTCAAATGTGTAAGGAGTTGTCGGTGCTAGATCTCTGATAAGATAAACAGTTGTGTTGAGCACTACAAAGTCAGTCGCTATTCGTATTACAAGTAGAATATTGAAATAAAACAAAATCTGCTTTAATAAGAGTTTTTAATGTGTGCTAATAAAATATTTTTCTTGAATTAAAAACAGTTTTATTTTACTTGTTAATTATTAGCATAAATAGACAACAGACAAAGTATATTTTAAATTACAGAAAAAATGTATCGTTCTATTTTTAACATATTTAAAACGATAAACGGGGTTGATGTTAAGGCTTGTATTGTTGTAGGCGTTTGTTTGTTTTGTGTCTAGGGAAGGTTGAAAGTAGGATGGGGCTTATGTACATTTTATTTTTGTGTTGGGAAAACATATTTAGAAAACTTCTATAACACACAATAGTTTAAAAAATCTGCTATCTGAAACCCAAGTATTAAAAAATTCCTACAATATTGTTGAAATATACCTGCTATTTCACTCCCAGTATGTAAAAAAACCAGCTATTTGAATTCTCCTGAACAATTATATTCTTACTTTAAACATGTTCTCAAACTCATACATTCTAATCCGCTACTTACAGATTTATATAAGCACAACAAATGATGAAGACAACACTATTTCGTTACAATCAAGAGAATGTGATGTAAATTATTGTAAATAGAACATTTATCTGCAAAACGTCTTCCGTGTTGGAAAGTAGTTCACAGTGAGTTTTACTATAGTTGGAAGGTGTGTCCAGTCTATTTCCTGTCATTTCGTCTACACTAGGTGTGTCCAGCCTGTTTCCAGTCATGTCGTCTACACCTTGTGTGTCCAGTCTATTTCTTGGCGTTGCGCCATGCCCTGGAGTGTCCAGTCTATTTCTTGGTGTGGCGCCCAAAGCAGGTGTGTCCAGTCTATTTCTTGGCGTGGCGTCCACAGCAGATGTCTCCAGTCTATTTCTTGGAGTGGCGTCCACAGCAGATATGTCCAGTCTATTTCTTGTCATGTCGCCATGCCCTGGAGTGTCCAGTCTATTTCTTGTCATGTCTTCTACTCAGATGTGTCTAGTCTATTTCTTGGCGTGGCGTCTACTCAGATGTGTCTAGTCTATTTCTTGGTGTGGCACCCACAGCAGATGTGTCCAGTCTATTTTTTTGGCGTGGCGTCCACAGCAGATGTGTCCAGTCTATTGCTTGGCGTGGCTTCCACAGCAGATGTGTCCAGTCTATTTCTTGGAGTGGCGTCCACAGCAGATGTGTCCAGTCTATTTCTTGTCATGTCGCCATGCCCTGGAGTGTCCAGTCTATTTTCTGTCATGTCGTCTACTCAGATGTGTCCAGTCTATTTCTTGGCGTGGCGTCTACTCAGATGTGTCTAGTCTATTTCTTGGTGTGGCACCCACAGCAGATGTGTCCAGTCTATTTCTTGGTTCGGCGTCTACTCAGATGTGTCCAGTCTATTTCTTGGAGTGGCGTCCAAAGCAGGTGTGTCCAGTCTATTTCTTGGCGTGGCTTCCACAGCAGATGTGTCCAGTCTATTTCTTGGAGTGGCGTCCACAGCAGATGTGTCCAGTCTATTTCTTGTCATGTCGCCATGCCCTGGAGTGTCCAGTCTATTTTCTGTCATGTCGTCTACTCAGATGTGTCTAGTCTATTTCTTGGCGTGGCGTCTACTCAGATGTGTCTAGTCTATTTCTTGGTGTGGCACCCACAGCAGATGTGTCCAGTCTATTTCTTGGTGTGGCGTCTACTCAGATGTGTCCAGTCTATTTCTTGGAGTGGCGTCCACAGCAGATGTGTCCAGTCTATTTCTTGGTGTGGCGCCAGCAAATGTGTCCAGTCTATTTCTTGGCGTGGCGTCCATAGCAGATGTGTCCAGTCTATTTCTTGGTGTGGCGCCAGCAGATGTGTCTAGTCTATTTCTTGGTGTGGCGCCCACAACAGATGTGTCCAGTCTATTTCTTGGCGTGGCGCCCACAGCAGATGTAAACAACGATGGACACAGCCAGATGGAGCAACTCACACAAGCCCAGGACGGAGAGGCCGATCCAAAGGCCGATGCTGCCCCCGATGTCAGACAGTAGCTGAGTACTCTGTGGGTGGGGACGGATCTCTATTAGTCATGATCGCCATAACACAATTACATACGTAAGCAAGCATTTCTGCATATTTATAGTAACGGATTTAAAGATCTACTTAAATGAAACTATTTCAAATTCTCATTATAAAAGTATAAATTAATTATACAAGTCTGTACATTACAAATTATTAAAAATTAAAAATACGCAATGTTATTATCTAAAAACATAATAAAATAATTTAAAAAATGGATCAACGTAAAAGGTTCCAACCAGGCAACAGTGGCGGTATTGTTGGCACATTGATAAAAAACGGACAGCTTCATCAGTTTTCTTGAGTGTAATGATCACATACCATATAGCGAGCATACAACTCTGATCAACTAGACTTGTCTAATTTAATGTGGTGTAGCCCCAGGTACCTTCAGAGGTAATATTCTACAGAATAAATAGCAAATAGTATATCCGAGTTAAGTGCGAAAACATGTTTTACCCCATAATCAGGATTCTCTTCTAATTGTTCGAAGTTCAAATCTTGGAAAAATATGTTCACCTTAATGAAGTTTTTTCTGAAAAAAAAAATTGTTATCAATACACGTTTAGAATAAATTGGTGCCAGAAAAACGGTAGAAGTACAAATAAGGCATACACAGTTGTCTTGCACATCATTATGGGAATGGACTGTAGCTCTGCATGTTAATTAAGAGCTAAGATTTGACATCTGCCATATATCCATCGCTTCAATTATAAAGCAACAGCTTTCTGCCTATGATAGATGTGCCGTGGTCGGATGGTAAAGCAGCTCACCACCGCTAATCTGAAAGAACAACCCTCTAAGGAGATAAAACTCCGATATTTAAATGCTGTCCTGTAGATGTTCTCTGCTTAGCTAGAAGAACATCTTAAAACCTCATCGCTTGTTCTACCAAATAGGGGTCAGCGTGGTTCTAGTCGGTAAACCTAATAGTCTCGAGTTCGAAACCTAGGCAGATGAGGCTTGACAACTGGGGACAGCAACTTTTATAGGAGAGATGATTCCAAAATCAAACAACTGCTGCCTTGTACTTTCTTCTTTGTTGGACAAAAGCTATAGAAGTAAATCCAAAAAGAAAAGCAGGCTGAAATCGGAGTCAACGGCTCATATGGCGCATAACAAGTTGGCACGTATACTTAATTCAGAAAGCAGAATAAGTTATATCTAATTTAAGAAATACTATGAACTAAATACGGGTTTAAGTTTATCAGCTATAAAAAGTAAAACAACTTATAAACGTACACAAGTAGCTGTTCATCTGCACGTAACGGAGCACACACGTCATCCTCTTGATTCTTACATGCCCCCTCTAAAAGAATTTTCTAACACATCAAGATTGATTAAATTAGTCAAAACTCATATTTTTTTAAAAAGTTCAAAATGAAATATATATGTATTGAAAGAACAGGTAATCCATTAAAGAGTGTTGTGTCCTTTATGTAGAGATATAAAGAATTATTATAATGATGACGAGCTTAAGTTAAGGGTAGAACTATGTCTTTTTGTGCGGATCTGATTCTTTGTTGTGTTTTAATAATGGAGGAAGGAGAGGGTAAACATCAGTTGCGATAGGGTGACATTATTTAAGTTAGAACCCCAATCCAAACCAACTTACTCCAAAGTCTGGGCTTGGCCAGCGTCTAGAGGATATCGTTTTTTCATAGATCCTTTCACTGAAATCATTTTGAGAGATGTATATTTGTTAATGCCGCAATAGCGTTCTTTAGGTTACTGTACTATAGATCAAATTATTGAAGACCGTTGAGTATTATGTATACTTTAAAAAAATGTAGTATGTATACTATATATAATTTATTCGCCTCAATATGACTGATGATTTGTATGCAAAGCTGTACTAACATAAACAAGACAAAACAGTTTGATATAACTCGTCACTCACTTAGCTATACTAACACGTACGTATACAATTACCTGCATGGATTATCACAGCCACACCCAGCGTCATTAGGTTCAAATGACATGGAGATGTTCGCCACACACTTTTGCTCTAGTTTAGGGAGATAATACAATAGTTTTAATAGGAAATAATCCCATAAATTAAATTTTACATTATGGATTAATAGCGATAAGACTATCCCGTACTTTTAATATCAAACCACCATATTTATCAAAGTCCTAATACCTTAATTATAGGGAAACATAATGCCATTATTTTTTAAAAACGTTATCCTATTATTTTGTTAAGAGATAATCCAATAACTTCAATAAAACTGAATGTTATAAGCTATATTGACTTTATAATTATAACTAAACAACAACTTGTGTTATGCAAACAGTAACTAACATTCTACACAACTCAGCAGACATATAAATATAACCAAACATTCTACACCACCCAACAGACATATAAAGATGACCAAACTCTTGACAGACAAGGCCGATGAGAGAGGAAGTGAGTACCTGCGCTAGACATGCAGATGTTGAGCTAACAGACAAGGCTAGTGAGAGAGGAAGTGAGTACCTGCGCTAGACATGCAGATGTTGAGCTTCTGCACGTTACCCATCAGCTGATTGAGTTCGGGCTGGAGACTGTCCGAGCAGTTACATCTGGTCCGGATCAGGTTCTGTTTGCAGATCTTCTGACAGGTCTAGGTGGGAGACGGGGAGATTTGTTTAGAGGTGTGGTTTAAGGATTTTAGCAAGTCTAGACGTGAAATAGGAAGATTTGTTTAGTTCTTAAAAGGTAAGGTTTAAAGATTTTAGCAAGTCTAGGTGTGAAATAGGGAGATTTGTTTAGTTCTTCAAACGTGTGGTATAAGGATTTTAGCAAGTCTTGAGAAGACATACGAAGATTTTAGTTCTTCTAATGGTGTTAGATGATCATTTTAGAAAAGGGGAAGACAGAAACATTTTAGTTTTAAGTGGGTGACATAAGACATTTAGCAAGACTAGGTAGAAACAAAATTATTTAATATTTTCTGCTACCCGTTTATATGATGGTATAATTAAAATGTATTCTTTTTACTTTATGTTAAAATATATGTTTAAAAATAAACACAAATAAAACAACGCTTATAAACTCTACATGCAGAGGCGTAGCGACCCTTCCCGGCGATTTGCACCCCCTCTCGAGATTTTGATTTGCACTCCCCCCTCAAACTTTCGATTTGCACCCACCCTCGAGATTTTCATTTACACCCCCCCCCCCCCCCTCAAACTTTCAATTTGCACCCCCCTCAACCTTTCAATTTATTTTTCCAACCCAATTTGGCGCCCCCTAAGCTCGGCGCCCGGGGACATATGTCCCCCCCCCCCCCGCCCCCCCCCCCCCCCCCCTCGCTACGCTACTGTCTACATGTAATTATTTAGCAATCATTTTAAAATGGTGAGTATATTTACGTTTCTGGTGTATTTCCTTTTATATTTTGCCAGAAATGTATCAACTTCCATGCAAGGGCCATAGGGTTTGGAGAGCCGAGTGACCTCTACCTAAGGAAAATTGGAATGAGTTCAGAGAGATGTCATATAGAATAGAATAAAACACTTGAATTTAATCAACCGTATCGGCCGAGGGACCATGAAAAGATTGATTGCAACAGGTGCAGACACAGCTTTGTGCCGACAGGGCTAAGTGCCGACATGGATAAGTGCCGACACGGATAAGTGCCGAAACTGCCAAGTGCCGACACGGCCAAGTGCCGACACGGCCAAGTGCCGACACCGTTCTGTGCCGACACAGTGTATCACAAATACAGTTCAGTAACCACATGGTTTAGTAGAGATTCCGTTTCAATAGGCCACGAGATTTCGTGATACGAGCCTTTGCTGAAACTTCATTCATCTTGTTACTTACCTGCTTGATGCCAACTTCATTGATCGTGTCACTTACCTGCTTTATGCCAACTTCATTCATCTTGTCACTTACCTGCTTGATGCCAACTTCATTCATCTTGTCACTTACCTGCTTGATGCCAACTTCATTCATCTTGTCACTTACCTGTTTGATGCCAACTTCATTTATCGTGTCACTTACCTGCTTGATGCCAACTTCATATACCTGTTTGATGCCAACTTCATTTATCGTGTAACTTACCTGCTTGATGCCAACTTCATTCATCGTGTCACTTACCTGCTTGATGCCAACTTCATTCATCGCGTCACTTACCTGCTTGATGCCAACTTCATTCATCGTGTCACTTACCTGCTTGATGCCAACTTCATTCATCATGTCACTTACCTGCTTGATGCCAACTTCATTCATCATGTCACTTACCTGCTTGATGCCAACTTCATTCATCGTGTCACTTACCTGCTTCATGCCAACTTCATTCATTGTGTCACTTACCTGCTTGATGCCAACTTCATTCATCTTGTCACTTACCTGTTGATGCCAACTTCATTGATCGTGTCACTTACCTGCTTGATGCCAACTTCATTCATTGTGTCACTTACCTGTTTGATGCCAACTTCATTGATCGTGTCACTTACCTGCTTGATGCCAACTTCATTCATTGTGTCACTTACCTGCTTGATGCCAACTTCATTCATCGTGTCACTTACCTGTTTGATGCCAACTTCATTGATCGTGTCACTTACCTGCTTGATGCCAACTTCATTCATTGTGTCACTTACCTGTTTGATGCCAACTTCATTCATCTTGTCACTTACCTGTTTGATGCCAACTTCATTCATCTTGTCACTTACCTGCTTGATGCCAACTTCATTCATCTCGTCACTTACCTGCTTGATGCCAACTTCATTCATCATGTCACTTACCTGCTTGATGCCAACTTCATTCATCGTGTCACTTACCTGCTTGATGCCAACTTCATTCATCGTGTCACTTACCTGCTTGATGCCAACGAACGTGTTGGTTCCCGGGCTAATGGCGATCCCTTCCTCATCAGGGAACGGAACAGTTTCCTGGTCATGCACCAGTAGCTGGATGCCCATTCCATTCGAGATGCCAGGAATGTATTCATGCGTTTCCAAAAATATGGTCAGTTCCAGACCTACGTTAGAAATATCAACAAGCCGATCTAATAAATTGTGCTCGTATTTTTTCGATAGACAAAACATACATGTATTCATTAAATGCAATTCATGCATTTAGAGCTCTAAACATTTTTACTTAAAGCTACTCGCCTGTACACGTAACATCAAATATTTCTGATTTACTAAGAACAAGCTATTGCAACATGAAACTCCGTATACTGACATGTCTTGTACTCAGAGGCGTCGCGAGGCGGGGGCAAGGGTGCGGACCGCACCGAGTGACACCATTGGGGGGGTGACACCAAGACAAAAACAAATTGCGAGATTTATCGAATAAATATGTTTTTCGCCAGTTCAATGAATGGTTAATTAGAGATAAAAAAGTATTTTAGTACATAATTACGATCCCAACAAGGTAGGAGTGGTGACACTATGACGTAGCTGGTAAACTATAGAAGAACAATGCTACACCCAGCTGTATTAACTACCGACTATAGATAAACATTACTATTTTATGTTAAAGCTTTAAAGCTTTTTACAGAGGGGGAGACACCAACTGCAAAATTTACAGAAAAAATGGTGGGGGGGGGGGTGACAGCATGAGGTGCCGCTTCTGGCATACCCGACCTAGCGACGCTACTGCTTGTACAATTATATGAACCTTAATAAGCAATATCAAAAGTCATACATAACCTCATCCAAAGAAGAACACAAGTCATGCATAACCTACTCCAAAGAAGTTGAAAAGCCACATATAAGAATAAAAGTTAGACCTTACCTATTCCCACGAAGAACAACAAAAGTCAGAACTTACCTCCAGCTGGACCGCTCGCTCGGCTAAGGAACTTGTCGTATTGCAGTGTGTGGCAGTTCCCGTAAGTCTCGGAGAAGGCTAGTGTGAAGTTCCTGAAGTATGACAGTATTTTTATGTGTACAGTAAAACGTACCAAACATAGTCCAGGGGCCTATATTTAATATCTCTTCACACACAACACGTTAGAACATAAAGGTATTATGGCGCGTAGTAGTTGTGAAATAAAAATTAAAATAAAATATAATATTAAAGAGAATTCTTGAAATTTGCCATGACCTAATAATTATAAATATAAAATGTTAAGTTCTATGTTTACCATAAACACCATTAAAACATAATGAGTTAATCTAATCTGAATAAAACGTGTAAAATACTTCCAGTCAAGAGAGACTATGTCAAAACTGTCAATAAACTAAAGTAACACCTTGTCAAACGAAACGAAACATCCGATTCATGTCAAACGACACGAAACATCCAATTCATGTCAAACGACACGAAACATCAGATTCATATCAAACGACACGAAACATCCAATTCGTGTAAAACGACATGAAACATCAGATTCATGTCAAACGTCACGAAACATCAGATTCATGTCAAACGACACGAAACAACCTATTCATATAAAACGAAAAGAAACATCAAATTCATGTCAAACGACACGAAACATCCAATTCATGTCAAACGACTTGAAACATCAGATTCATGTCAAATGTCACGAAACATCAGATTCATGTCAAACGACACGAAACATCCAATTCATATCAAACGACACGAAACATCCAATTCATGTCAAACGACTTGAAACATCAGATTCATGTCAAATGTCACGAAACATCAGATTCATGTCAAACGACACGAAACATCCAATTCATATCAAACGACACGAAACATCCAATTCATGTCAAACGACTTGAAACATCAGATTCATGTCAAATGTCACGAAACATCAGATTCATGTCAAACGACACTAAACATCCTATTCACATCAAACGACAAGAAACATCAGATTCATGTTAAACGACACGAAACATCAGATTCATGTTAACGACACGAAACATCCAATTCATGTCAAACGACACGAAACATGAGATTCGTGTTCCAACAAACAGAAAGTACCTTGCTTCACATTTCTTGCCAGCATAAGAACATTGAAGTATCATATCAGTAGCTTGATGGCCAAGCTGTTTGCGTATATCTCTGGGTAAAACAAATACAATATTATTAACGTGTATTGGTTTAAGTAATTGTTTAGTTAATGCAATAGCAGTGGCATCAATTTTACAGTGTGTAAGTTTGTATTAATTGTATTTAACTTTGACTGATTTAGATTTTCTGTAGTGTGAAAATGAAAACGAATAGACCACTATCGCCTACAGTTTACTGAAATCTGCATTTATTGTATTTAAATTTGACTAAGAATTGATTTTCTATTGTGTGAAAATGAGAACTGGTAGGGTATAAATGAGTCAAAATGGGGCATCAAGTGAGTATCTCTACTTATGCAATCGCCTATAGTTTACTGAAAATATGAATTAGTTGAATTCGGTTTTGACTGAAACTTCATTTTCTGTAGTGTGAACATGAGAACCGTCACGTACACAGGCTGTCTGTTGAACGCTTCCCTGAACTTCTGTTCTGTTTCGTACATCTTAGATTTGGTACCTTCAGCCTCCCAGGTGCCTTGGTATTGCTGGAGAGAATAGGTTAATACACAGGTGGGTAGATAGTATAGTGTAATGGTGATACGAAGGTGTGTAGATAGTATGGTATAATGTTGATAGTGAAGTGAGTAGGCCTATATATTATGGTGTAATGGTATGCAGAGATGAACAGTTGGAACAGTTTAAGTGGTGAAACCATGAAACAGACATGATCATTTAGTGTGTTACAATCTTAATACAGAGTTCAGAAGTAGAATAGACCATGTAAAGGCAACAAGTGGAATCACCATGTCATAGAGTGTTTCCTCTGGATCTTCCTCGTCTGTATTGTCCGGGTCATATTCAAGACATTCGCCTGGGTCGTCCTCGTCACTGTAGAAGAAACACTAGAAGTTTTAACCAATCAAATCACTGGTCACTGTTGAAGAAAAACTGAACCAATCGTATCATTGGTTTTTGGTAAACAAACCTCAAGGCGCGCTTAAATTATTTTGTTAACACATAATTAATCTCATTCAGTACACCAACACTAGTAAGACATGTAACTACTGATGGCGTTACTAGGAGGAGAAGCATTTGGTTGGGGTAGGCCCATGTCCCTATTGTAACGCCACATTGGAGCACATACATAAACTCACCCGGTAGTTTCATTACATTTCTTTACTAATGCCATTCTTTTTTGCGGATCAGCATCCATAATTAACTGTTGTACTTCTCCACTTGATAGGTTTATCTGTTTGTCAGATTGAAAACAAATATTTGCTTTGACTCTTACAGTAGTAATGTAACATGTTTATCACAATGTTTAGCTTAAGTTCATCTAAATGCATATGACTGCTGTCCAAAAAGCCTCGAGTTTGAAACCGGGTTCAAGTCCGTAGAACGTCAATGTGTCCATAGTAGTATATTAGGTCCCTTTTGGGTCGCAGGCGCAGGCGCAGGGTGAGGGGAGCAGGAGGTGGAGCAGGAGCAGGAGCAAAGGATATATAGGAAAATACTCCCCCAGCCTGGTACAATGACATATAGCAAAATACTCACCCACCAGGCGCAGCCTGCCGCAGCCTGGTACAACGAGATATAGTAAAATACTCCCTGGGGGAGGTGGAGGTACACCGACATATAGTAAAATACTCATCCATCTGGGTGAAGGTGGGTGAGCAGGTGGCGCAGCCTGGTACAATGGGATATAGTAAAATACTCACCCACCTGGGTGAGGGTGGGTGAGCAGGATGCGCAGCCTGGTACAACGACATATAGTAAAATACTCACCCACCCTAGGGTGGGTGAGCAGGTGGGGAAGTAGGTCAGTAGGTCACCTTTTGGTGACCTTGTGACGTAATCATTGACCTTGTGACGTCATCATTGACTTACTTACGTAATTTTAATGAGTTTTTTAATTAGTTTTAATGAGTTTTTAAAATTTTAATTAATTTTTGACCTAGTTACGTAATTTTAATGTATTTTTTAATTAGTTTTAATGAGTTTTTAAATTTTTAATTAATTTTTATTATCGAGTTACGTAATTTAATTACTTTGATTGTATTTTTATTTTGTTTAATTTGTTGTTTACTTGTTGTTTAATTACTTTGTTTATATTGTGTAATTTTTTATTAACGAGTTACGTAATTTGATTATTTGTTTACTTTTTAATTATTTTTATTGACGAGTTACGTAATTTGATTATTTGTTTACTTTTTAATTATTTTTATTTTGTTTATTTTTAATTTAATTTTATTTTATAATTAGTTAAATTATTATTAACTAGTTACGTAATTTGATTTTAATTACTTTTGTTTATTTATTTATTTGATATATTTCTTTTTCTTTGTTGTTTAATTACTTTGTTTATTTGTTTATTTGGTTGTATGTATGTTTTAAATAAAAGACTAACACTATCATGTACTAGAACAGTCTTTGTATACCAGCCTTTAACCAGACATGTAACATCTGTTACTTATCGAGCCGGGATCCTTTGTTGACACGCGCTGAGCGTTTTTAATGGGTATTGTATCGATCGCAGCCGCTGGGCCATCAAATGTTGTCCCATATAATTAAATTGGTTATGCTTCACCGCTTTTATGCGTTGTTCGCCGACCCGATCCCACCGGGGGGTATGGTAATTAACGCAAATCCAGCGTTAAGTGTGGGAACATCTGTTACCACGTTAATCGGTTTTTCCCCCCGGTTGGATCCCGTGCTTTTCACTAACAGTTATACGGACAGTGTCATGGGTTTTTTGATCGAGTAAAGAAATAGTATTGAGCGACCCGGGTCGAGCGGTGTGTTGTATGTAGTTGGTATATCCATGTTTTGTTGTTGGTTGGTGTAGAGTTTATATCAGGGTCGGTGAAGTTTTCACCAAGGCAGGTTACAAAGTTGATACAGGCATGTTTTGGAAGTGTTAGGGGTCGAGTCTAGAGTGGGAAGGATTTTGTTTTCACCGAGTGATGTTGGTACACAGATGTTTTGGAGTTGGTAGGATTTTAGAACAGTTGTCTTTCCTCTCGTTTCTCTATTAGGGAAGCCGTAAGGGGAAGACACGCGACACGTCTTTTAAAATGTAAACAAGCGTACACGGGGTGTAATTTGGTTATTTGTTTACTTTTAATTATTTTTATTGAGTAGTTACGTAATTGGATTTTAATTTTTTAAATTTTTAAATTTTAAATTTTATTTTATTAACTAGTTACGTAATTTGATTATTTGTTTGAAATTCATTTTATTTCTTTGATTTTAATTACTTTGTTTAATTAATTTATTTGATATATTTCTTTTCTTTGTTGTTTAATGTTGTTTATTTGTTTGAATGTATGTATGTTTTTAAATTCTCCCCTACAACGAGCGTGTACTAGAACAGTCTTTGTATACCAACCTTTAACCAGACATGTAACACCTGTTACGTATCGACCCGCCCGCGAAGTTTTCTCACCGCTCCCCGTTTTAATGGGAATGTATTGATCGCAGCCGCTGGCCCATCACACCTAATTAAATTTCTGTTATGCTTCACCGAGTTTCCCCCGCTCGGTTGACAGCTGTGCAACAGCTGTTGTGCGACAGCTGGTGGTGTAATTAGGTTGACCAACCGGACATTACCTTGTTGGTTTTCTAGTACGCGTATGCTACACGTATATACACACACACACACACACAATCACACTAAATTAGAACAAAAGTCTTCTTATATTTTATTTGTTTATTAACGTTTTTCCAATTCATCAAAGGCTTTTAAAATTTCATCCTGTAAACTTAATAGGCGCTCAAAGCAGACGCGACTCATACTAACACCAGAATTTGTAGGAAAATTAAGATCGGTCCCATCTATAAGCTCTCTAAGATTTAAAGTGTTTTTGTTCATGAATTGGCTGACAATCGCCAATTTAAATCCGGTGTGATTCATCGTTCGTATTTCCGTCACTTTATTGTTACCTCTGGCCACAAGTATCCAATCTTCATTAGACATCTTGAAATAATCTTTTATAATTAGTTCCAATAATTTGAAGTGTTAAACGTAATATAATACGATCGTTAATATATTGACGATTCGCTGACGCCGAAAAGGGTTGTAATATAACTTTTAAATTTGCACCGCGCGTTTAATCGAAAGAGCTAAGTAGTTATCCGCAAAGCTACCGTTAAGTGTGGCGACAGATGTTACCAAGCGGGTGGTGGTGGTGGTGGTGGTGGTGGTGGTGGTGGTAAATTTGCTTAAGATTATAAACTTCAAGTTTTAAAAATCAACAACGTTATAGTACGTCGTGTCAAATGACACACAGTTTAAAATGTCTACATTTAAATTTCACCAAAATAAGGATGTATAAACTAAATATGATATGACGTTAGCATACATATCATTCAATCTAATCATTCTAAAGTACAAATCAATAATTTTTTATTGATTAAGTGGCCGTGTTCATACTAGGGTCGGTGAAGTTTTCACCGAGGTTGGTTTTGAACTCGGAACATGCATGTTTTGGAGTCGGTAGGTGTGGGCTGTAATTAGAGTGTCCAACCGTATAAATGACCGCGCAAATTGTGTTCTAATCACTTCGACTTCGGACTTCAAATCAAGCGTCACAGCGACTTATCCTGGATGAGACCTCTGTTGACTCCTGAGACTAAACCCACGCCAGCTTTACCAAGCATCACATCTACCTAACCCTACACGGACCACATCTTTTGTGCGTGTTTATTCTATTAAAGGTAAGGTTAATATTACTTTTGTTTTATGGGTGCTAACCCTGTTAAAATCAAATCTTATTAAATAAGTACGCACATGTATTTAATTTTGTATCGTACACCGAGGTAAGGTTAATAGTACGTATTGTTTTAAGGGAACTAACCCCCATTCAAATACCTTTTAATTAATTACTTTACTTTTGAATCGTACACCGAGGTAAGGTGAATATTACGTTTATTTTAAGGAAACTAACCAATTAAAATAACCTTTAAATAAATAGGTATCTAAATAAGTCGTCACATGTATTCCTTTTTAGTGTACAACCGACCCTCCACACAACTGTTCCATCGACCGACCCTATTGAGCTACCTACCCATCCCCGAGGCAGCCACTGAACCAAACGTTCCAGCTACAGCTAACTTCACGTTCACCTTAGATGTTCAAACCCATAGGTACGTTTCATTTTTAATTTTGTTTTAAGTATGTATTTTATTTTATGCTTTTTATTTTATGTAATTATTTTTATTCTACAGCCAACGACCTACCCAAGCAGCCGACTACTAGATAACTCGTCAATAATGGAAGCCGCCCAACCTACCACCCACCCAGCCATGTCCCGTAACAAGTGTGACATATGCGAGCGGGTATTCACTCGCAAAGACGCTTTGACAAGACATCACGACTCTGTACACGGACGACAAAGACATCCCTGCACAACATGCGGGAAACTATTTACACAACTTGACAATTTAACGAACCATTATAAGACAGCGCACAACAACCAAACTATACTGAGGGACACCCCATCACCGGTCGACAGACAAACCGGTCAACCGCCATCAGCGATCCAAACAGACTATACTGCGACCAACACTAACTCGTATGACTGGAATCAAAATAATTCATTTAAGACGATGGATCCGAGATGGAAACATCCCTTTACCGCTCTGATCGCAGGGCCAACCGGGAGTGGTAAAACAGTATTTGTCAAAACATTTTTATCCCAGGTGTCAGGGATGATGGATCCTGCACCTGAGGAAATTTATTACTGTTACGGGGAGTGGCAGCCTTTGTTTGATACCATGAAGAACGTTCAGTTTGTGGAAGGTCTTCCTGACTTAGAAAGTGGATCAATGGGGGATGGAAAACGTAGGCGTCTAGTCGTCATCGATGATTTGATGGCGGAAACAGATGATCGAATTACAAAATTGTTTACGAAAGGTAGTCACCATCGTAATATTAGTGTCATGTATATTGTCCAAAACCTATTCGGGAAAAATAAAGAACAAAGAACCATTAGTCTCAATTCGCATTACATCGTGTTGTTCAAGAACCCTAGAGACGGTTCACAAATTACAAATTTGGCAAAACAAATGTATCCCGGTCGCGTTTCGTATGTCCAGGAAAGTTTTAAGGACGCAACATCGGCCCCTCATGGTTATTTGTTGATCGACCTTCGACAGGAAACACCTGATAATCTGAGATTACGCAGTAGTATCTTTTCTTACGAGCAGCAAGTCGTTTACGTCCCGAAATAAAAAGCAACCATGTCTGAGTCGGTAAAACGACAAGGTGAGATGTTAAGGTTTTTGGCTCGGGCCAAACCACCCGCTGTGAAAGCCGTTGTCGAAAATGCTACCCCACAACTCGTAAAAACGTTATGCGAGTGCTGTCACAATGTCTTAAAAGGCAACGTTCCCCTCACGCCTGGTTAGAAGAGACGTTTGCGTCGTCACAAAGTGAACTTGAGACAACTTACCAAAAAGTCATTGACCGTCAAAAGACGAAAGCAAATTTTGCAGACCGGCGGTTTCCTAGGTGCTTTACTCGGACCAGTCCTCGGTGTACTTAAAGGTGTCTTGGGATTTTAAGGATGGCCAGGAAAATGCTTTTAATGGATCCTCGTATATTAGAGTCTATGCAACAAAAAACCTATGTACCACTCGATACACTCATCGGTGAAAACTTCACCGACCCTAGTATGAACACGGCCACTTAATCAATAAAAAATTATTGATTTGTACTTTAGAATGATTAGATTGAATGATATGTATGCTAACGTCATATCATATTTAGTTTATACATCCTTATTTTGGTGAAATTTAAATGTAGACATTTTAAACTGTGTGTCATTTGACACGACGTACTATAACGTTGTTGATTTTTAAAACTTGAAGTTTATAATCTTAAGCAAATTTACCACCACCACCACCACCACCACCACCACCACCACCCGCTTGGTAACATCTGTCGCCACACTTAACGGTAGCTTTGCGGATAACTACTTAGCTCTTTCGATTAAACGCGCGGTGCAAATTTAAAAGTTATATTACAACCCTTTTCGGCGTCAGCGAATCGTCAATATATTAACGATCGTATTATATTACGTTTAACACTTCAAATTATTGGAACTAATTATAAAAGATTATTTCAAGATGTCTAATGAAGATTGGATACTTGTGGCCAGAGGTAACAATAAAGTGACGGAAATACGAACGATGAATCACACCGGATTTAAATTGGCGATTGTCAGCCAATTCATGAACAAAAACACTTTAAATCTTAGAGAGCTTATAGATGGGACCGATCTTAATTTTCCTACAAATTCTGGTGTTAGTATGAGTCGCGTCTGCTTTGAGCGCCTATTAAGTTTACAGGATGAAATTTTAAAAGCCTTTGATGAATTGGAAAAACGTTAATAAACAAATAAAATATAAGAAGACTTTTGTTCTAATTTAGTGTGATTGTGTGTGTGTGTGTGTGTATATACGTGTAGCATACGCGTACTAGAAAACCAACAAGGTAATGTCCGGTTGGTCAACCTAATTACACCACCAGCTGTCGCACAACAGCTGTTGCACAGCTGTCAACCGAGCGGGGGAAACTCGGTGAAGCATAACAGAAATTTAATTAGGTGTGATGGGCCAGCGGCTGCGATCAATACATTCCCATTAAAACGGGGAGCGGTGAGAAAACTTCGCGGGCGGGTCGATACGTAACAGGTGTTACATGTCTGGTTAAAGGTTGGTATACAAAGACTGTTCTAGTACACGCTCGTTGTAGGGGAGAATTTAAAAACATACATACATTCAAACAAATAAACAACATTAAACAACAAAGAAAAGAAATATATCAAATAAATTAATTAAACAAAGTAATTAAAATCAAAGAAATAAAATGAATTTCAAACAAATAATCAAATTACGTAACTAGTTAATAAAATAAAATTTAAAATTTAAAAATTTAAAAAATTAAAATCCAATTACGTAACTACTCAATAAAAATAATTAAAAGTAAACAAATAACCAAATTACACCCCGTGTACGCTTGTTTACATTTTAAAAGACGTGTCGCGTGTCTTCCCCTTACGGCTTCCCTAATAGAGAAACGAGAGGAAAGACAACTGTTCTAAAATCCTACCAACTCCAAAACATCTGTGTACCAACATCACTCGGTGAAAACAAAATCCTTCCCACTCTAGACTCGACCCCTAACACTTCCAAAACATGCCTGTATCAACTTTGTAACCTGCCTTGGTGAAAACTTCACCGACCCTGATATAAACTCTACACCAACCAACAACAAAACATGGATATACCAACTACATACAACACACCGCTCGACCCGGGTCGCTCAATACTATTTCTTTACTCGATCAAAAAACCCATGACACTGTCCGTATAACTGTTAGTGAAAAGCACGGGATCCAACCGGGGGGAAAAACCGATTAACGTGGTAACAGATGTTCCCACACTTAACGCTGGCTTTGCGTTAATTACCATACCCCCCGGTGGGATCGGGTCGGCGAACAACGCATAAAAGCGGTGAAGCATAACCAATTTAATTATATGGGACAACATTTGATGGCCCAGCGGCTGCGATCGATACAATACCCATTAAAAACGCTCAGCGCGTGTCAACAAAGGATCCCGGCTCGATAAGTAACAGATGTTACATGTCTGGTTAAAGGCTGGTATACAAAGACTGTTCTAGTACATGATAGTGTTAGTCTTTTATTTAAAACATACATACAACCAAATAAACAAATAAACAAAGTAATTAAACAACAAAGAAAAAGAAATATATCAAATAAATAAATAAACAAAAGTAATTAAAATCAAATTACGTAACTAGTTAATAATAATTTAACTAATTATAAAATAAAATTAAATTAAAAATAAACAAAATAAAAATAATTAAAAAGTAAACAAATAATCAAATTACGTAACTCGTCAATAAAAATAATTAAAAAGTAAACAAATAATCAAATTACGTAACTCGTTAATAAAAAATTACACAATATAAACAAAGTAATTAAACAACAAGTAAACAACAAATTAAACAAAATAAAAATACAATCAAAGTAATTAAATTACGTAACTCGATAATAAAAATTAATTAAAAATTTAAAAACTCATTAAAACTAATTAAAAAATACATTAAAATTACGTAACTAGGTCAAAAATTAATTAAAATTTTAAAAACTCATTAAAACTAATTAAAAAACTCATTAAAATTACGTAAGTAAGTCAATGATGACGTCACAAGGTCAATGATTACGTCACAAGGTCACCAAAAGGTGACCTACTGACCTACTTCCCCACCTGCTCACCCACCCTAGGGTGGGTGAGTATTTTACTATATGTCGTTGTACCAGGCTGCGCATCCTGCTCACCCACCCTCACCCAGGTGGGTGAGTATTTTACTATATCCCATTGTACCAGGCTGCGCCACCTGCTCACCCACCTTCACCCAGATGGATGAGTATTTTACTATATGTCGGTGTACCTCCACCTCCCCCAGGGAGTATTTTACTATATCTCGTTGTACCAGGCTGCGGCAGGCTGCGCCTGGTGGGTGAGTATTTTGCTATATGTCATTGTACCAGGCTGGGGGAGTATTTTCCTATATATCCTTTGCTCCTGCTCCTGCTCCACCTCCTGCTCCCCTCACCCTGCGCCTGCGCCTGCGACCCAAAAGGGACCTAATATACTACTGTCCATCCAGCTTTGATGGGTACCTAACTCACATTCAGGAAAGTAAAGACGGCTGGACATTGTGCTGACCACACAATATCCTTATAATATTTAAATGCCGTAAGAAACAGGTGAACTCTACTCTACTTGCTTTACGGAACGTCGAGTTAAAAGCAAATGTTATTTTTTTTACCGTAAAAACTAAAAAGAAAATCTAATTTACTTTTGACTGTCTCATCATGTTAACATTGCATATTGTAACAGCCGGGAAAGGCAGGTTGTTGAAGCTCAAGTTTATCTTTGAGTGTTTCTTGTATTCGAAAAAATCTGAAAATAAACTGTGTTGCGTAACATTATCAACATTAGGTTCCTTATAAGTTTTCCACAGACACGATATAAAATTATATATTTTAAATTCTTGATATCGACAAACAAATAATCAATTCACTATAATAAAAGCTCAAATTAAGTAACAGCAAATTGAACTGAATATCTACTAATTGTTGGAATTTAAATAAATACTAAACAAAAAACAATCAATAGAAAATTAAATCAGCGTTTTTTAATGTTTTTGGATACGCGGAAAACGTTTCATAATAGCATTATTCACACATATAAACCTATAAATAAAAAAAGAAAATGAGTAAATCGAATTGAGTGCATGCGAAATAGGACAACTATATGAGTGAACACTCGAGAATGTTAGGATTCGTACTCTCGTAGCTAAAATTCTCCAAAAAGGGTACATACAAGAGCGCATGTCTGTAAACATCTACTCCATTAGCAAGAAACGTAACACAAAAGGAAACATGAGAGTTTAACACATTATCAACAACCAGACTACTTTACAGCATCAATGATAACTTAAATTCAAATCTTGTGCTAACATTGCAGGGGTGGAGGAAAAATTATTACAAGCAAAAAGAAACAAATGCGATCAATACACTTAGTGAATAAAAATACATCTATTTTTGAAAACCTTTTAATTTTACGATTTTAAAAAGAACTACGATGCGTAGGGCTAAAATTAATTGGAACCACTGGTTGGTAAAAGACATTGACTGATATATGTTCCTATACCTGTAGAGGTGGAATATCATAGCGCCTAGAGCCGCCATCAGAAGTAAGGTCCAGACAACCTTGACCACAGGGTTCTTTGATGACGAGATGAACGGCAAGCCATTTAGTGATGTGATGTCTGCGAAGTTGAGACAGATCTTGGAGAACTTCCCTTTCTTCTTTTTCTCTTTCTTCTCTGTCTTACCTGCACTGTAGGGCTCATTATAGACGTTACTGCCGTGGTTGGCGTCCCTTGTCTCAGGTCGCACCTTCAGGAAGTAAAATAAATGCAGAACTCGTTTGTATTAAATTATAGTTCCTTAATGCTTTTGGTATTTATCTATATAGAATCGCCCAAAAATCTCACACGCATTTTCAAGCAATTTATTTATGGAAAAGTGTAATCTTGATTGTAATTGTAGTCTATAACAAAACAAAACATATAGGTATATATAGTAGATTAACTAACTTCTAGACATAGGCCTACTCATTAAAAAAAAATACTTTAAAGTAAATAATCGTGGAATTTTAGTCGTATATTTTAAAATAGTTATTTTAGTAGTGTCTCGAAGTCTGAAAGACGGTTCTTGGGTATTTTCCTTTCATGTAACAACAGTTTAAAATGTACAGTGCTATTTGATCAACGGCTAATTTCAAAACTATTCAGCACTCTTTTATCACATAGAGAACACAACTTTCAGTAATTTACTTTTATCATTATAGTTGAAATAGCAAAATCTAATAGCCAAACATTTAAACGAAACAGCACATCTCCTGTGCACTCCCATACATACAATTACTATACTGCGAGTCTCAGTTTCGATACCACCCGCGCAAGTGTAATGTGACACCCCACCCCCTCCCTTCTAACGCCTATTTGCTGAGCTAATGCACGACCATCGCCTAGATAAAGAGCAGCTTTCCGGGTTAATTATTCTGTAATTTGACTTAGCCGAAATGATTAAAAACCATAATTTATTCAGATATGAACAAACACAAATGTTTTTATTCATGTACACTTGTATTGCGCGTGTTTGCATAATAAATAATTTAGAGGCAAAGCTAAATATCCATATTTATAATTGAACAAGACTTGTTTACTTGAATGTATAAGGCACATCTCTATTTAAGAGATCAAAACAAAATACAGTGTTAGGTGAGTGCTTGTTTAATACCGTAATAAAAGCCATGGCAACTTGCTGGCTTTGTGCGTATGTCATTCAAAATGTGCAGCGTTGTGCGTATGTTACTAAGATGTGCAGCAGCTAGCTTATACATACTACGTATGATAACATTTTGTGAACCTTTATGCGACTTATATAGAACCTTTAAACGTGAATCATACTATATATATATATATATATATATATATATATATATATATATATATATATATATATATATATATATATATATATATATCGTGTTAATCCCAGTTATTAAATAATGTTATTACGTTATATTTTTATAATTTTTCTGTAACATTAATTTCCCTAATGTTAGCCATGCAATTTTACGCGCTACGACACACCCACGCCGTCCTGTAAAATGCATTCAGCTAGCATTTAATGTTCTAGAATGTAAAAGAGTTAGCATCCTATAGGATATATCGTTATAAAAATGTATTTATCTGAAATACGTTCGGCATCTACCATATAAAAAAAAGTATTAACTAGCTGAGATCATAAATCATGTTTTTAAAATTTGCTAATTCGTTTTTTCAAATTGTGAAGTGTTGCTATATTCAAATATCAGTGTTTGCATTCCATTTTATCAAACTGAATGGAAAAGCACGAGATTCGTAAATTCAATAGTTTGCGATTGCGGATAACTCTATTCATGATTAGTTCATTCGGTGCGTGTATAACATGCAGTGAAAGGCGGTATAGAAACTTGAAATAACTTGAAAGGCATCTCTCATCTGTTACAGAGCTGGCCTACGTCTTATTCTACCACGTGTTTACCGTACGTGATAATAACACCAGCGGTTACTGCTGAATTAAAATTCAGTTTAAGTTGGGGTCACAATTTCGACACCTTTAGAAGACGGTTTACAATCTAATACATTACAGTTACTGTTATGGGGAAGTATTCATGATTCATTTACACTTGAAATTATGAGTTTTTGATGTTTTAGGCAATTTTTTTCGTTTTGTATGGCGAATAAAAATAGGCAGCAAATAACTTTGTATTGATTATAAGCTATTTTTATTATTTTTTGTTTGTTCGTTGAATGAAATAAGTCACCATCGCATTTTTGTACGTAAAATTAATTTTTAAAATTGGTGTATCAAGTATTAAATTGCTAAAAACAAACAAAAACAAATTAAGTTAAACTAAATCATCATGGAAAATTGTGTTTTTTCTTCTTTAAACTATGAAGTGCCTCGCATAAAAAACCTAGATTACAACATATTCATCAATTTATTGTGAAACCTAGGGGTATACTTCGTTTCGTAGCAGTACTTTTTACTACTATATTCATAATTTTTGCCTTAACCGCGCCAAAACCAATACAATGTCCATTACACTGTGTGAAGAAAATAAATCGATCAAATGTGTAATGGCAATAGGGCCAGGGAACGCACCGGAAATTGTTGAATTCAACCAGAACTAAACAAATAGAAGAAATTAGTCACCTTTTTCTCATTCAAATAAAACCCGTTTTGGTGGGATGGTAGCTCGGGCCGCCCGTAGGTCTCTAAGCGTTGAGTCGTGGGGGCAAAGCTGTCGTTATACTTTCCCATGGCAAAACCTCTGCCAGAGTCAAGATAAGGGTCAGCAAGTCGGCGGTCAAAGGGGTGGTCATCCAGCCACTGGTCTGACCTATGCGAGTCATCAATCCATCGGTCTGACCTCTTGGGGTCATCTTGTTTGCTGTCTGTTCTATGTCTTCTGTAGTCCATGTAAGGATTATTGTAGTCTGTTGATCTGTAGGGGTAATCCATGCTCAATTCTAGATCAACTGTTCCAAAATTTTAATCCTTTTATTTTGTTTGAGTTCTAGAACGAAATTTTTAAAAAATTAACAAAATGCATATATCACATAATTGCCAATTTCATCTGGATTATATTTAAAGGACGTTTGTTGAAAGTACTTGGTTATGTTAACATTGTAAGCAAATAAGACGCTTACGAACATCGTAAGTTTCGTATTGAGATGAATAGTTTACCTTGTGTTAAGTGTGGGGCATGAGTTATCTGTTCAAACATACCCGAGCTTAAAGTGGTAGATTTAAAGGAAGGGAGTGTGACAAACTATTACTTTCCTAGTGTCTATGACTGTATCACATTTCTGGTTACTATATCACATTTCCAGTGATATGTGAATGTCTAGCGTAAATACAATTTGATATTATGAATGCATAGGGTCATTTAAAACTCGCGTAGATTACGTTTTAATAAAATCTATGTACACAGACAATTACGAGTTTCAAAAGATTAATACAGATTACTTTGAATGTCCACAACACGTCTCCTTTATTAAGACAAAAAATAAATAAAACAATACACAGATTAAAGTACTACGCAAATAAACTGCTACTTTATACAAGTTGCGTAAATGCTGAGATAAAAAATGTAAATGTTTTTCTAGCTCAATGTTACATTACAAAAGCAATGCCCTAAATAAATTTCATTTTGTAAAAAAAATAGAGAGCCTTGATATCAATTTTTCTTGATTAGGTGAGTTTTGTAAACTATTTTTTTGTTTTAATCTCCACAATTAAAAATATATATAGCTGAAGGTTTAAACAGTGTGTGTGTTGAATTACAGGGTACTTTTTGAAAAGATTTATTAATCTTGGGTTTAATATTCAGGTATAATTAAATGTTTAATCAGAGGTTTTAATATGCGGTTATACTTTAAATGTTTATTATCAGAGTGTTTAATTAGCGGTTATAGATAAATTTCTATTAAACAGATGGTTTAATCAGTTTTTTAAACAATTGGGTGTAATCAATTATCGAACATCTTAGGAGTAAATAAAGTTCCAAGCAATGGCGGTGTAATGCGACGTACAAACATACAAATAACTTAACAAAAGGTATTCAATTTGGATGGTGTTAGTAAAGGTTTTACCTTTGCTTGTCTGAATTGAAATTTATTACTTTAAGGTGATTTTAAGATTAAAGCTATATTATTTAACGCTAGAAACAACTACACATTTAATTTATAGAGTACCATAAACTTAACAAGGCAAGTACTAAATTAATAAGAATATGTGAGAATATACGATAAAGGTGTAAGTTAACTCACATTATAAATAGATAAATTCCATCCAACTAATGCATGTTACATCTAGCTAGACGGGAACATTAAAATGTCAACTCCGACGACAGAAACCAAAATTCTCATGTCGGTTCTTTATATGACATCCATTCAATTTCCTCGATCCAGTTTTTGACCCACTTCCACACCCTACAGATTGTCACGCAGGGTATTTACTGAGAGAAGCCTTGCACGATTTTTAGCAAACTTCCCACAGCTGTTCAATAATATTGGGGGATTACATCATGGAGTTAAATATTTTTTTACGACGCCTTTTTTGTTAGTACGCTGGTTGGATGAGGAGAATCTGTTGAAAGTAGCGCCAGGCATGAATAGAAAGTTTGTTCTTTTATGTAGGTGAATAGGCGCTACGGGCCATTTAGCCCAATGTGCTATTTATAGTACAGGATAGACCTGCAATTTAAACTTTATGCTGTTACACACACACACACACACATATATATATATATATATATATATATATATATATATATATATATATATATATATATATATATATATAATATCACAATTCTATTTCAAATCATTACAATACATCTATATCGATGTCTAGCCATTCTGTTTATTTAAAACAAGTGTAAAATTCACGATATTCATATTGTTGTAAAATCAAAACACAAACAAGGAATTTCTAGGAAAAAAAAACAACACCAACTTACATCTCTCTCCGGCACAACTACTCATACAATTAAAACAACTAACTATATTTTTGCCATGGGATTTGAAACATTGCTACATTATATCTTTTGACAACACAATTAAAACTAAAGTTAATCTTTATATTAATGGGTGTAATTGTCACTGGTCATATGTGTAACATATATTATAATATATTATAATTGGTTAGAAATATCTAGAACTTAGGGGAGAAAGCATGTGTGAGTTAACCCCGGTGTAGTGACTCGGTATGTTAAGGTATTGCCACCGCAAGGTCCAGAGCGGGTATAGTAAGGGAGTGAACGATTGTGAGGTTTGGCTTGTAAGGGCTAGGGTCGAAGGATTGTGGTGAAATGATGAAGATGATTACTTAAGTAAAAACAATTTAAAGAATTGAACGTAAGGTTGATCGTAACAGTAATATCAGTAGACAAAGTTCGCATACAAAAATACGTAAAATAAATTTCTTTTTCGTCGAAATTGAATGATTAATATCCGAGTTACTGTTACAATATGAAAAAGTGTCTCAAGGTAAGTAACTCAATAATAGAACACCCGTTTTAGTTTTCAGAGTGGCGCTTCTTACTAAAAAAATAAAAACTATGTTTTTCTAAATGAGTTTCTAGACTTTTAGGTAGATCACTATGTCGGTATGACTGTCTGTCTATTCGAATGGACTGTTTGAAGGTGTTTTCTTGTAATTCCATTTTGCTACTATTCTATAGCTAAAGTTTGTTACTAAGTTTAGCGATGAGATTTTTTTTTAAATTTAATATTTCCATATAAGTAAGACGTTAATATTCCAAAAACTCTGCTTGTTTATCTGCAAAAAAATATGATTTTAATCTAATTAAATTGTAATTAGTCTTACGAAATACATACATTTTTAAGCTTTATTCAATATTACAAGGGGAGATAACACGAATACAAGTGGCGACATCAGAAAGCAAAATTGGTCTCTTATTTAACAAATTGTATCTGCAATCAAGGCTATTACAAAACACTTTTGACGTTACAATGTAACTACTCAAACACAGACATGTCATTCTTTTGGTTCCCTATTATGTAGAGAGAGGCAATGACAGTACGAATGTAACTGGAGCTGCGCTCCAACGCAATTGTGTTGTGTTTATTTTCTTGAAGTTACAATAGTAGACTGATGTAAAACTATCAAATGCACAGCTGCACTGTATTTGCATACACAACAAGACAAAGAACATTATCAAATAAAAAAATAATTTTACATTTTACTAGGTTATACAAAAACAATCATCTTCAGACCTAGCGATCCACTGGGCAGATGAAGTAGAGTCCATTTGCTGCTTGAGCTCGGCAAATAAAGTGAAGGTGTGGTCAGCACTTTGCCAGGCCGCCATTACTTGGACTCAGGGATGCTCTTTTGGTTGGCTATGGAATTGGCTAATTTAAGAAATAATTTAATTTTAAATAATTCTAGATCTAGGGCCGATTCGCGTAGTTTCTTACGCATACTAAAAGTAAAATATAGATTCTTTAAGTTAATGCCTAACTCGAAGTACGAGCCTAGATAGCTAAGAGGTTAGCTTATTAGATTACTATGCAGGTGGCACGGGTTCGAGAAATGTCAATGTTGATTTTTTTTTTCAATTTTTATTTTAATTTTTTTTTCCATTTTTACTTTCTCGTATATACGAAGTATAGAGAAAGTCTTGTAATCGTGCAAAAAAAAAAATCGAGATTTTTGCAAATCTCGACGTTTTACATCTCACTGATACGGAAAAACATAATTTTGCAATCTTGTCCGTATGTCTGTGTGTCTGTGTGTGTGTGTGTGTGTGTGTGTGTGTGTCCGTGTGTAAACACGATAACTTGAGTACCGTTACAGCTAGGTTGATGAAATTTCATATACAAGTATTTTATCAAAATCGTAGATCCGTATCAACTTTTGAGCGATTTCGGATAACCGAAAGTGGTACTTTTTCTACTTTGAATTTTTCAAAAGCCTATAACTTGAGTACTATTTCAGATAGATAAATGAAATTTGATATGTAAGTAAAAGATCTAATTCTCTACCTTCTGTCAAATTTTGAGAATTTTTCGTTGACCGGAAGTACTTATTTACGCTACTTCCGATTTCTCAAAAAACTAATGTAAATTTTAAAAGTACTAATAATATTGCGCACTATTATGCGCTTTTTTATTCGCGTTCACTTGGTGTGCAATTAATTTGTCTACGAGATTTTATTTATTTAGCGTTCACTTGGTGTGCTTTTCTTTTTTCTACGAGATTATATTCTATTTTAAGAAATGTGAGTATTTAAAATGGATTAAAAATCATGTCTAGAAGTCTATATCCCGAGTTGCCATCCCCTGTAGTGTTATATTAGAATATTCGAGAAAGTTTAGGGGAGATCACTCCCGGTTTATTTTTAGATTAGAATGATAAAGTTGCCTATCGATATACAGGGAAGGTGAAGTAGAGTTAACCTGTTTCTTTGTCCTCAGCATATGAAGGGATAGTGTGGTCAGAGCTATGCTCGACCGGAATCGTTTTTTTTAAACAATAAAAACATGTGGTCTGAGACTTGGCAGGACAATGGGCAGGTGAAGTAGAGTTGGGTAGGTCACCTGTGACGTCAGAAAATGAAGGGCTATTGTGGTCAGACCAATGCTCTGTCGAAATCGGTGTTTTCAAAAAAACAAAAAAAACATCTTTCTGAATGTGTGATCTGGTTATTTTGTGATGATTTTTGACAGACATGATGTCATTTATAGATGACCCCCGAAACCCACAGTTATCTGACTAGATAACGGGTAGTCTAGTGTTAACTAAAAGTAGCTACACAATGTTAGTAGCTAATGCTCATTTTTGTTGTTACAGTTGTTACACAAAGCTAATTGCTAATGCTAATTTATATTTGCTACAATAAGTACACAACGTTATAGTAGCTATAGTAATTACACAACGTTTTTTAAAGTTACAGTAATAATACACAACGTTATAGTAGCTTCAGTAATTACACAACGTTATAGTAGCTACAGTAATTACACAACGTTATAGTAGCTACAGTAATTACACAACGCCATAGTAGCTACAGTAATTACACAACGCATAGCCTACAACTTGTTTTAGTTGCTGCAGCAATAATTAAAGCTAGTGCCTCATGTTAATCTATAGTAGCAGCAAACGCTAATCTTACATATCTTGTCAACTGTTTCTTGATACGGATTCTACAGACACTAAACACCTGAGACAATTGAAGTGATGGTTAACATTGCATTATATATATATATATATATATATATATATATATATATATATATATATATATATATATATATATATATATATAGGCTATATATATATATATATATTTATACGTTTCTCTTTTGTCATTACCCTATCATTATATGAAATCGTGTGAAACATATGTTCATTAAAATAAAATTGCCACATCTTTAATATATTCCTCTAGCTTTCTTTCAGTCTTTCAGTTGCGTTTAATGGCTACGCCAGCAACCCACATAGCATTCCGACAACCCGGACTTCCCTCTGCTATCAAACGCAGTATATGACTAACCCTCACAGTCAGTTTTACATTTCTTTAGAAGACATTTACATAAGAGCTTTGTGTCTTTGTTATCGACATTACATATGCACATATTGAGCTTTCAATTAGCATAATGTGTAATGAAACATGAGTGTTATGTTATGTGGCTGCCATCTGTTGGGAGAAGCCAGACAGACGTGTATTAAAAATGTTGGTCTACAATTATAAATATGTATTGCAGAAATATACAGAAATTTTTCAAAGTACATATTCGTTTAGAAAATATAAATGCGTGGGTAGGAATAAATTCCTTAAATACACTCCCTATCAGACAAATTGGAAACATACAAAAATGCATCAAGAAGTAAGCCCTATCATTGTTATAACTTTAAACGTCAACGTATAAGCGGTCTATAAAATTTATATTTTGTACAAGTGAACATAGCGTTTCGTCAACAATATCGAGATAGTTATCTTTCTCGCCGACACACATGTGACTGTAAAACCTTCATTATACTGTTAATTTAAGGCAACCTCTACCTTTTATATACGCTTTCATTCACCACCCTCCTCCGCCATGCAAGCGAAATCGCAAGGCTCGCTGCAGAGACCACTGTTTTTAGACTGTCCAGTGACCTGACTCCGAAAGGCTTGTGTCTCGATCAAACCGATCCCTACAAAAGCCGGTAACATTCTTTCAACCTCTTACATCAGTCTCACCTGGCGGTGTTGTCCTGGGTGGGGGTGGGGGCTTACCCAGACTTACAAGCACTAGGGTTTTAAATCATTTACATATATATATATATATATATATATATATATATATATATATATATATATATATATATATATATATATATATATATATATATATATTATTTTGTGACTCATTTTATTTTTATTTTTATGGTACCAATTTTTTTTACTTGAATAAATTTAAAAGAACGTCTACTCTTTTATTACGGAAATTAAAATGCAATACAATCCGTAAACTTCCTGCATGTTATAATCACATTAGAAGTCCTCAGTCCTGGCTATTTTGTTTATTTCTGGTGGTAAGCCTTCAGCAGAGACAAGTAGGCTATTACACGGGCCTGGTTACAATTCACTAATGTTTGTTGCTAATTTTACTGTCATTTTTATTATTACTTTTTAAAAATCTTATTCTGCCCTTAGCGAAGTAAAACGAGGTAGTTCAATACATTATTTTACGCACTTAACTTATGCCGCCATGACTCAGCGCAGAAGTAGAGAATATACTACACTACATTTTACTTTAAATATTCACGGTTCAGAGTGGCTCTGACTCACCAACCGGTTCAATAATATGCTTTTGTTAATTATTTTCACTTTTCAGGTTCAACGCAATGGCGTAGCCACCGTAAAGCTAGCGTAAGCAAGGCATGAGGTGGGGGGGGGGAAGGGGGGTGCAAATCGAAAGTATGATGGGGGGGGGGGGGTGTGCAAATCGAAAGTTTGTCCCCGGTCGCCGGGAAGGGTCGCTACGCCTCTGAGGGGCCCACTAACACTTTTTGCATAGGGGCCAAAAAATCCTAGCTACGCCAACGGTTCAAAGTAAAAATACTTGTTACTTTTGACAGTGGCAAAATGGGAAATAGCTTACAAACCCAATATTTCAAGAGTTCTTATCTATTTCTACCCTTGCCTGAAAAATTAAACATTCCAGGTAAATTTTTTTAAAAAATATGTTGCGTTTATAGGCCTTGGAAAGTTTTTTTTT